TTGTGACATGTAAAGGTACATGATCCCAACAATGAATGTAACTGTACTGTATCCCTAAATGTACCAATAAACTCAATAAAATTAAAAAAAAAAAAAGAATAGCATGCAGGACTGGGGATTTAGCTCAGTGGTGCCACAACCTGCCTCACAAGCAAAAGGTCCTGAGTTTAATCCCTGGTACCAAAAAAAAAAGAAATAAAAAAAGAATAGCATGTGATTTCCATCTTACACAAGGCAGTCAGGTCAATAATATGCAATATGAAAATGAGAAAAAGCATAGCAAAGAAACTGATATTACAGTAAAATATAAATTACAGTTTATCAGTTTTGGGATATTAATTACACCTAAAGTCACCAAAACCAGGGATTAAATATTTTACAAATATCTTGTAGTCTTTCATTTGAAGGATAAACTACATACAACAGAGTTTTTCTGATTTTTACTAACCTATGTCGTTTAGCATTAATGAAGAGGTCTAAAGAATTTTGGGCATAGCCATTAACAAATTATGTATTTAGTACTTCATTTGAGCAGCTCCATATAAAAAGCAAGTGGTGTCACAGCACATACATGTAAATACAGTAACCTGTGAGCCTGACTGCAAGTCAATGTTCATCTGGCCAACTTAGCAACTTAGTGATATACAATCTACAAATGCATTTACAATGGGGTTGGGATGTAGCTTAGAAGAAAGGCTCTGGACTCAATCCACAGTACTAATATATATTTAAATGTTTTAAAAAAGTGAATGGCAGAATGAAAATATTCTATAGTACTTTTACCTTTTCAGAGAAACACAGCAAGAGAAAATTTATACAAACTGACAGAAAATTTCCCAAAGTACCTACTTTAGAAAACCATTGCAAAGCAAAGGAATTATTTTTGTATTAAAAGAATGTGTATCTACTACACAGAGCCAATGTGTATTAGGTTATAAATGCAACCCTGTTTTCTGGCCACCATAAAGTAAAGTGTCTTTGCTCTTCTATACCCTTCTAGAAAAAAGTAACCATGGCCTGAACTCTGAAACTGTGAGTTATAAGCCTGTCCTCCTCTGACTTGTGAATGTTATGTATTTTGTCCTAGCAATAGGAAAGTAACCAAGACACACAGAAAAAGTTAAAAAAAATTTTTAAATTCACTGAACTACAAAAAAGACACACACGCATATGCACACGCACACTAATGAGAAAATTATTCCATTGTGTTTGTTTTGGTTCATTTTTGTTTGTGATAGTTCTTCTAAGTCACTAACTTGCCCTAGAATGAACTTAACAACCCTCCTGCTTCAGCTTCCAAAGTGCTAAGATCACCGTCACAGCCAGTTAAGAGTTACTAAGTTGTAATGTGCAATTCTGAACATGAAATTACTGAAACATTTCAAAGGCACTGTAAGAAAAATAAAAAATATGTCTCATTCACAAAAAAGGGAAAAATAAATAGAAGGTGTTTCAGAAAAATGACATTAGGTTGGCTAGACAAAAACTTTAAATCTTAAGCTCACATAGTTTACAGAAAATCGTAGGAC